TTCCTTTCACGGTTTCCGACGCCATATTGTTTGGGGGGCAAATTTACTAAGAAGCGTAGGGAAAGAGATACGTTTTTCGTACTATTTCCATTCTGAGGTTACCCTGCGAGCAAAGTCTCCTTTACCTTCCCCCGAGTGAGAGAAAGGAAAGGGTCTTCTTTCCTTTCTCTCACTCGGGGGAAGGTAAAGGAGACTCTGCTCGCAGGGTATTCTGAGGTAAATTTTTTTGGAGACCAAACTTTTTCTGTAGATGGAGAATCTTCTGTTCAATAATGTTTTGTGTGGTGTTTTTGAGCCGATGGAGCCACCATAACACTGGTTCTCAGAGAGACGGAGGCTTGCTTTGGGATTTGCGACCAAGACTCGTTTATGCTGGTTCAATTTGACCGTAAAAAAAATATTCAAACCGAATCCACGGACTTTCTTTTGTCTTACAATGACTAAATCCCAAATAGTCTTGTACTCTATTCAAAGTATCTAATGTGCCCAGCACATTTGACACGTTTTCCCGTGTCAAAACTTGTCATGATTTATTTTTTCGCCAAACGGAATGAGGTAACGGGACAACAAGTTAGTTTTAAGTCTTTATTTTATATTTCTATATTTTACATTTAATGGAATCAGTTATAGGTTATATTTATTTAATTCATTTAGAAGATTTATTTAAATATATTTTTATTATTATGTAAAATGATGTAGGAGTGTCTTTTTGAGGTAGCCTCCAGGTCAAAATTAGGATATACATTCTATTGAAACAATAACAGCTAATATTAGAAAGATCCGTTCCGTTTGAAAGTTTTGGAAAAGGACATGTGACTAGAACAACGACCCTTTTTGATTCCAAAGTGCACATTTCTCCAAAGGATTCATTGGACTGTTTTTCTTGCACTTGAACGCGTTGGCAAACTCGCAAGAGTTAACTAATGTACCGATCACCCTGTGAAGATAATGAAGAAGAACAACGATAAGAGGTACTACTGAAGTCGTTCGGTAAGATGGTACTTGCCGGCTCATAGATAAATGTAAGTAATATTATCATTCAAATTATGCTTTTAGCCGTTTCTTGATTAGCCTACAAATACAAATAATAGTCTGCTCATTCGCATGATGATGCGGTCTTTTTGCTCAAAAGATTTGAATTTAGTACAAGAAATACCTTTAGGTTTTAGAGATTCTTTACAATAAATCCCTAAAACCTACACGTACTTCTTTTACTAAATTCAAATCTTTTGAGGCAGGGCTTTTGTCTTTTATCTACTTTCAAGATCTCGATTTTTGTGGTTTATAGGCCTCCTCCGTCAAGTCGTAATAAACCTGCAATCCAAATGTTTTTTATGCTTCCCTGAGCTGTAAAAAAATTAATTCTCACATTTTATAGACAGCAAAAAAAAGCCGAAACACAACGACACACACAAACAAACGATTACAAAAAATATATCCCAATGACCGAATATTAGCTTGGTTATCACAATACCTGCCTTCGGCATCGAAAAATAATTGCTTGCTTACTAAGAAATCACGATATTATGCTCAACCAATAATCGCTTATTTGCCCAAGTTTTACCTGCATAAAACGCTTGCGCTTACTCTACAGATATCTGTAGAAAGTTCTATCAGTGGTCATAAACAATATTACCAATATAACCAATCGGTCGGATGATACCACCCAAACCTGGACACTTGGTCATAGCAATGGTTAAAATTCCATAAAAACGTATTGATACTTAAATATCTTTTTGATAAATAAATAAATATATATATATATACTTGAGTTGATCATATCTTGACCATAAACTTTTTCAAACAGGTTCAAAAGTACCTATATTCAACTACTTGGGAACGCATATATTTTTAATAATATTCAATCAGCTTACTGCTAATGTTATGTATAATTTGATTTCGATATTTATACAGTTAATGCACTGAAGGATTATTCACGAAGTCAATATTTCATTTAGAGAGATAAAATATGTAATTCATTTTACTCTTTATTTGAGTTGATTATATGGACTTGACCAACCAAACTTTTTTCAATTCAGGTTCAAAGTGACCTATGTTTATTAAATGGGAACGTCGACATTTTAAAGAATATTCAGCTTACCTGATGTCATGCGTTGGATATATATGATTTTGGAACATGTATCTGGCGTAGTTAGGAATGAAGTTAGTACAGTAGCTCTGTAAATACAATTAAGGCAAACTGATTTAAAGCCTGGTTCACATATGATCGCAGACGATTGCAGACGATCGCACTCGATCGCTGGCGATCGAGTGCGATTATATGTGAACAGCTCTGCGATCGTCTGCGATCGCAGGAATAGAATCTGGTTCTATTCCTGCGATCGGTTGCGATCGGTTGCGATCGTTTGCGATCGTTTGCGATCATATGTGAACAGAATTCTGCGATCGTGAGATTGGAAGGTGTCCCACAATGCTCAGTTTTCCATAAACCAAGTGTATATTTTTGATTTTTACAAGCGAAAAAGCATTTCTTTTTAGTTTTTTTTTCAGATATAACTGGTTCAAAAGTATCAACACACGATTATATATGCTAATTGACGTTTGTAAGCCTTATAGGCAAGTAAACAACTGTCGTTTGGGGATATATTTTAAGATTGCACGTCCTGTTCTTTATAGTGATGACTCCCCTGATGAAGTATTCACGATCATAAAGTCGAACTCTTCTTTTTTGATTTGCCAGCGATTATTTTTTCATAGTCCATGTTGAATCTGCATGGTACTTTGTTTGCGGACTCAGGTGTCAACAAACCGCCGGCGATCGGCTGCGATCATATGTGAACGTTCGATTTGAGATCCTCGGTTGAGTGGATTCTGCGATCGAGCGATCGAGAGCGATCGTCTGCGATCGTCTGCGATCGTCTGCGATCGTCTGCGATCGTCTGCGATCGTCTGCGATCATATGTGAACCAGGCTTAAGGTACAGGAGGGGATTTGGACCTCTATAAATGTTACCTTAAATTTTGCACGGACTTTACAAAATTTTGTCAAAAAGGTATAGCTTTTCTAAAATCTAAATAAACGTAGTTTTCGAAAACGTATTTACAATAGCCCCCTTCACAGTTCCCTGCGCCATCTTGAAAGGTAGCCGTGCTTTTGCATCGAAGCGAGACGAACTGTGAGCTTGCAATTATAGTGACAATTGTTCATATGTCTCTATCATTGCAAGCTCACCATTCATCTCCCTTTGATACAAAGGCACGGCTACCTTAACTTTCAAGATGGCGCAGGGAACTACTGTGAAACGGCTATCGTCTGTTTCACAAAAAGAGTCATTGGGTTTGAAGTGAAATGTACCGCACTTAATAAGCCTGAAACGAGATGACGTTTTACCCCCAACTCTATACCGTAATAGTTTTTAAGATTCTTTCATATTAAAATGTTTGATTTCTTAGAGAATACAGGAACAATAKTCATAATTAAAGAACAAAAGCAGTGTGAAAAGGATTATGGTCTAGAAACGGGGGTAAAACGTCACCTTGCTTCAGGCTTATTTAAAGGTTTCCGCAGGACCAGAATTTCGGATATGTCAGTCATGAATACATTAGCATGTTTGCACATAATGGCTGGCTGGCCTTGCTCCTCACTGAACAAGCGCTCGAGCGAGGAGCCCATTTACATTCATAGATATACTCTTGTACCAGACTCAACTTTTTTTTTCTTTAGTGAAATGAGTAGGTACATCTCGCGTCGTTAAAATTAATGTTAGGAAATTGATGTCAGTAAACTATTATAGGATATACGTAACAAAAAAAATTTTTTTGTCTAACCTGACCAAATCCAATGTAGAAGAGCTGTTCATTGGTGAAATTCAGTCCTGGTAGCAGCCATTTTTCACTGGGATTTAGCTTTGCCCAATTGTGATATGCCTAATAAAAAAATGCAAAAAAGAGCAACACTATACATTTAGCATTTTTACTTGGCCCGGGAAACGACAGCTGACTAAAACGACTGACCGATACAACAGGGGGAAAATGCCTGACCTACAGGTTTATTGATGGTTTTCAACCATTCCCAAGGGAATTAAATGACAAAAGACACGGCGGCCATGTTGGAGGATATAGCAAAAGAATTCATTGACAATTTTTTTGTTAAAGTCCTCCAACATGGCCGACGTGAAAACCATCAATTAGTATCATGAATCTGATACAGAATATTAATAGCTCTGTTTTAGTATTCTGTATCAGTATTCTGTATCCTGTACGGATTACTAGTTATAGCTAAGCTGTATGGGTTTACATTGCTCTCATGTGACGCTAGTCGTGCGATTTCATTGGGTCTCATCCTAGTGAATTATAATGAATTTGATAATGATGCAAAGCTTTACGAATAACAAAGAAAACCGAATTAAATTTGAGCTAAATGACAAGACGTTTTTTTTAAAGGACTTTGATTTATTCCATGAACGGTGATCACTATATTACAAAGCAATAGAATGGCTGGAGGGTGATTAGTCGAATTCAGTTCACGAAAGCAGGGAAGCTTTGTAATCCCGACGCCATATTTAATACGGTATTTTCAAGAGAAAATAAACTAGGAAAAAGAATCTCTCGTATTGAGGCTTGGTTTGAGGTTGTATTTACTCAATAAAATATCTATCTATCTGTTACCATGATAGGCACCTTTGAATGCTATATTTTTAATTTAAAATTTTCTTAAACATTTATTTTGTCAATCTTTCGTCCCCCACGATCATCTTCAGGGCTGAAATAAACAAGAGGGGATTTTTTTCAAACGTGAGCAAACAAAGTAGAGCGCACACAGTACGTGCAGTACGCTAGTGCAAAACAAAACAAAAAACAGAACGAATGTTTCTCAGTAAAAAGAGCGTCAATGATTTTAAAACATAGCATCAAAAAGTGCTTATGAAAAGGGTTTTAGTTCATTTTCTCCTAATGTATTCTGTTACAGTTATTCATTGAAGTATTCATTTCCTTTCAGTTTGTTTTTTAAATAGTTTTCCAACCTTGAGAGCCGCTTTCAAGCCGTTGACGTCTGAAAGGTTTTCGTCAAGAGTCTTAGTGCCGTTGACCTACGAAAAAATCGATGAGTATAGAAGGGGGCTTCCTGTAACACTAGTCCAGTTGTTGGAAACATATTAATGTAATGGTAAGTGAGTGTATTAGTGGAACATCATTGGTGAATAGTTTATGTAAGAATTGAATTGTGAGCACTCCCCCCCCCCCCCCCCCCATAAAAAAACTCAAAAAAAAAAAAAAAAAAAAAAAAAAAAAAAAAAAAAAAAAAAAAAAAAAAAGAAAGAAAAAGAAAACCAAATCCTATAAAAATGGGCAAAAATGAATAAACTTGAAAGAAGAACCCATGCATTTTTTTGTAGCTTTCTTATTGAAAGATTATGCGGCTTCTCTAACCAAAACCTTCAGTAAGGGCTTAGGCGTTATAAATCCCTTTTTAGAAGATTAGCGGTCTTCTACATTAATTTATCATCTTACTTGAAATCCTGATACATAATACTGTGAGTACTGTTTTTCAAAGCACGGAAGTCGATCATGAAATCTAGTAATTGCTTGGTTTGTCCAAAGCTGACCTTTTACTTCTCCATCCTTGTTGAACTTCCAACCTAAAAGCACATAACAACACTCAGGGATATTGCAATGAGTATTTATGACTTTATAGGTACTAAAATGTACCAATGCAAAATGCACTAAAACAACTACTAGTTCCAGCTGAATGCTGATAAATGTAAAGAGATGGTATTCGACTTCCAGAAAGTCAAGCACCAGATGACTGTCAACTCTAGCTTGATCTTGACCTTGTTATTTCAGACTGCTTTTTGCAAACAAACATGAGAGATGATTACTATGAAGTGTAGGCACTGAGGGTGGTTACTGCCTGGTTTTATTTGCGTCCTCAGTGGTTCTTTTATGTCCCTCTGATATTGGTTCAGTTAGTAATGATAAAGTGTGGAGAGACGGGACCGTCATTTAAAGTGGTCATCCGAGACACTTATAGTCTAGCATCTTGTTGCAAGTAATTACGAAGGCAGCACTTTCTCCTCAGTTATTTTAAGACCCTGAGTGTTATAATCAACTATCAATACTTATTATATAACTCATAATCTAATAAATCATCCTCAATCCGGATTTAGATCTCTCCATTCTACGGTTACGGCTCTTCTTGATTTAACCATACTTAATAAGAGCGGAATGGTTGGGAAACCTATGGTTCATTGTTATATATAGACCCTGAGTGTTATAATCAACTATCAATACTTATTATATAACTCATAATCTAATAAATCATCCTCAATCCGGATTTAGATCTCTCCATTCTACGGTTACGGCTCTTCTTGATTTAACCATACTTAATAAGAGCGGAATGGTTGGGAAACCTATGGTTCATTGTTATATGACGTTGACCGTGCACAAAAGGAAAAGCTGCTCCTTTTGTTCACAGTATTAGGGAATTTAGAAGTTTTTCTGCCTAAAAAAACCGTTATTGGATAGTTGTTATTTGTTTATTAATCCTATGTGATTAATATTAACTGTTTATTGAAAGGGAAATGATTTATCATCTAGTAACTTAACTGTACCTGCGCGGAAATATTTATCAGCATGGTTTGTCAGTGGTCAAAGAATGAAATTGTCACTTTCAAAATGTTAATGCATGAAAATAACAAGGAAATGAGTATTTTTATCCATACTTGCTTTTGTTCATTTTACACGGTCAGTATCACGTGATGGTACGATTCAACATCAAAGGCAAAACAATAGCTTTGTTCTATGGAGTTTCCAAACCATTCCACTCCATTAACTATGATTTAACAAACGAACTGTGCTTTTAAACATCGATAGAAATTTATAGAAGTTTTTAAAATCTAAAAAAAAAAAAAACATACTTTCTTTGGTCTACACAAGAAGGCAATCGCCTGGTTTACTTCCTATTTAAACGACAGATCTCAATCATGTTGCGTTGATGGTATTTTTTTTCAGATATAATGCCCATTCGCTGTGGAATTGATCAAGGTATCACTCTTAACCCACTTCTATTTATCTTGTATGTTAACGACCTCTCACAATGTTTAGACCACAATAAAGCGAGAATTATTCTACGTCACCACATTTAGGGATCATGTGAGATAGCAACGCGCCAGCGCAAATTCAGTGCACGTTCAGCTCGTTAGCAACAACTGTTTCGTGTGTTTTATTCACTCGGTAAAAATATTCACGCGAGTAAAGTGCTCGTAGTACAAATACAAAAACAGTCAGAAGCACACTTCTTCACGGACTATTTGTTAGACATATTTTGTCAATAACTAGAGAATCTCGTGGAGGTTCAGTGATATCTCGTTCACTCAGTACGTCGCGCTGCCGTGGCTGGAACTCGTATATGCAAAATTGGCAGATATTG